AAAAGGATGAGTATGAAAAATAAAAAATCATATTTATAGAGTATTTAAAAACATAATTATAAATATATATTTTGCATGGTGCCAGACCTATCCTTTTATTTTTATTGTTAAATATATGATACAAATAATGAAATTATAATCAAATCAATTATAATTATAATAACAAAGCATGGCAGACAAGGTATATGATGAAAAGCATGTATCTAATATATATAATCTTCATAATCATAACACGATCGTTTTCGTATCTCCCTAATGTATTTTAAATTTAAGGAGACTATATAGTGTAATGTTAATTTTTGTTAATTTTTTGCTCTCTACGAGAATCGAACTAGAGCCTCCCGTTTCAAAGGCATATGCTTTACTGCATGCACCAACTTAAATATAAATAAATTTAAAATAATTATATATATATTAAAGTTTCACGCATGCACCAACTTGAATATAATTAAATTTAAAATAATTATATATATATTAAAGTTTCACGCATGCACCAACTTGAATATAATTAAATTTAAAATATTAATTATATAGATGTTGAAGGGTAATTATTTAGTTTTTGTGTATGGTATTAAATATACTTATTAATATATTTTATATAAATATTAAAATTTAAGAGTAAAAGAGGTAAAATTGTTGCAATGTATACTGTGAGCATGTATTAAAAATATCGAAATTTAAAAATGTGATGGAAATCATATTGGATAAAATTTAAAATAGAGGTGCTTTAAGATTTTTGAATTTTAAATATCGATTATAAATTGGTCTGAAATTTTTTTTGCAGACATAGCCAGGCCTGATCAAAATACCATGTCCCATACAACTTTCATAAATTAATTAATAGTTCACATTTTTAAAATTTTACCTGTGTATTGCATGCACTAAATACACACCTAATATTATACATATTTCTGAATATTTAGGGGTAAATAGAACTTTAAATGCATCAAGTACCAATTCAATAGGAATAAGGTAGAACTTTAAATGGCAAGTACCCATTCAATAATAATAAGAGATTTATTTAAATACTATTTTAATTCTTGAATTTATATATAATTTAGGATTTTATACCATTATATTTGGGATAGACTTGGACATAGCTTGAGAAACATTTTTCATAATTATTATAGTCTAAGATTCCTGTAAATTTTTTAATTTTAAATATGGGCTTGAAATTGGCTTGAAATTTCTTTTGAAGACATGGCAAGGCCTGATCAACCAAGGCCCATGCAACTTTCATATTCTGAGTGTATTTTTAAATGCATTGTGACTTTTTATATATTTTATTTCAGTCCTCAACTATCAAAATTATTATGGTCTTTTGCTGGTTTGAGAAAACCAAGTGCGAGGACCTGGGTTGGGAATTTTTTTAATATTAGGCATAGGTGTAATATTTAACACAGAATATTTATATGGTCCTCAGGTAAAATCTAATTTAAATATATTTTTATTCAAAAAAATAGTATTCACTCTTAGTCTTAATGGGTTGGCCTTGGTTAGGGTGAGCAGGGTTAAAATAGGCTAATAAATAGATTGGTTTTTAGAGATTTACCTATCTTAGGCTTAGAAAAAAAATTTAAATTACTATCGGTTAGCCATGTTTGAGAAAATTTTTTTATAAAATTATTATGGGTTGGGCTGGGCTTGGAAAATATTAATTTTTATAAATTATATTAGGCTAGGCTTGGGGAAAATTTTTCAAAATTATTATGAGTTTGGACGCTTGAGAATTTTTTTATTATTAATTATAGGTCAGACATTGGCCCAAAACAAATTTTTTTGCAGGCCTGGGCTTGACCTGATCAAAAAACCAAGGCCCATGAAAATCTGAATTTTGATTGTATTTTTAAATTCATTATGATTATTTAAATATTTTATTTCAGTTCTTAACTACCAAAATTATTATGATCTTTCATTGGGCTTGGAAGAATTTTTCATAATTAATATGGCTTGACTTTGCCTGGGAATTTTTTTTAATATTAAATATTAGGTATAAGTAATCAGTAATATTTAACAAATAATATTGGTATTATCAAGTAAAAGCTTTAAATTTATTTTTACTCAAACCATAGCACTTAATTTTAATGATTAAACATGGCCTGAAGGGATGGGGGTAAGAAGAATAAAAATTGGATATTATTTTCAAATAACAGGTAACATGCATAAAAGTAAGAAGAAAATTTTCATTCCCCGTTATTTTTGACGGGCTATCTACTAGTTATTTTATAAATATCAATTTTTAAATTGACCAATTCTAGCCAGCTCGTTTGGAAATTTTTACATGGTAAAATAATTTTGAAAAATATAATTATTTTATCCTGTATCTTCCATTATATATAGGCACAGAATTTTATTTCTTAGCCTATCCTGGATTTCTGAACCAGGCTGCCTTCACTATTAGTGATAGTGTGTAATGTAAATTATATTTATTACAAAATGAAAAAGAGTATGTAAGAAAATATGGGAGGAGGGGGGAGGGGGGTTTAGGGGAATATGTTCCTCGGGGCCACTTACATGTTCCTTGGTAGTGTCGATTATCATATTGACCTATGGTTAATCTTTCCATAATCTCATGTCTTGATAATTTAGGTTTCATCTTGGAGTTGAGATTTGTGATTTTTTCATTCGTTTCCGCTTGATTAGCTGTCAGGTTGACTTTAATGGCTTCTATTTCGCTTTTCATGGCTTTAGCTGCTGCTTCAGACATAGACTTGGTTTCGATATTCGAATCTAGTTGTGAAATTTTTCGTATTTTGATAATTATTTTATTTCTCATATTATAAATATTCGCTTAATAACTTCCTTTCCTAATATTTCAGTAGATGAGGAAGGCGTAATTATACAGTAAAATAATTCTGAAAAAGGATAATTATTTCATTCCATTTATTTAAAAATTGTTTTTTATATGATAATACGCACTTTTTATTTTATACCATGTCTGCCAAGCTCTGTTATGTATATTGATAATTTATTTGATTATAATAGCGACATTTCTATCATATATTTAGCAATAAAAATAAAAAGATAGGTCCGGCGAGACCAGAAAGCTATAGGATTTTTTCGCAAAAACGTTAACAACATCTAAATATAATTTTAGATATTTCGATAGAAATTTTCTTCAAAATTATCGTTAAAAATTCAATAATACAGTAAAAGCTAAACTTAATATTTGCCCAACTAAAAATGAAATCATAAATGAATGGAGCGATTTCATAATCCAGCAATTTATTTTATGCTTCTGTAAAACTGTGATATTAACAATATTTAAAAATTATTATTACATAATTTACACTAGTGAGTGCGGGTAAAATAATAAATATATTATTTATAATATTTGTACCTTACTACTGGTGAGAAAATATAATTGGAAACATTTTCGATATGATAATATATTTACATAAATATTAGGAATTTTTTAGAAAATGTTTAATAATTTTAAAACAAATTTTATAGTGGTGTACCATAAAAATGGACTTGCAAAAAAACTATTCGTCAAGATATTGATTATTTGAATAATTTCTTTGAAGGTATTTTATTTATATTTTAAAATACATTTGTTTAACCCTATTTGTATTTATACTTCAAATACTTTAATTTTGTAGTTGTATATATATTCAAATATTTTTTTTAAAAATTTGTCCAACCCTATAATTATTTCTATATATATTTTCTCCTACATATGAACGTAATACTCCAATCGCGATACATAACATAGGTCTTTGCTGCACCATGATTTCGATACGCAATAGATGATTTTTTTCAAAAAATTTTTTGGCAAATTGTGCTAATTCAAAAAATTTGAAGTGATAGTAATGTAATTGTATGGGTTGACTCATTATTAAAAAATAATACTACAGACAAATTTTTTTATTTTAATCATATATATTTACAGATTCTATGAAAATTAAATCTCAATATTGATAGCAATCATCAAAACATACACTAAAGAATTTAAACTTAAAATCAGCCATCACCCATCTCTAATGTAATTAAATTATACTGTAGTTCTCGGGTATAGGCTCTTTTTTCCCCACTCCTTTTTAAATATGCCTGTAGAGGTTTAAGCAACATTTTTCAGAATGTTGTGAAGTACGTACGGCTTGCCGACAAACGTGTAGAGGGCGCCTTATTTAACTTTACACCCCAATTAACTTATGTTCCTATTAGATGGAAATGAGGAAAAACTAGCGTAGCTCTGTTGTTTATTCAACGTCAGAGGGCATATACGCTATATATCACGGATCACGGAATAATCTGCAATATAGATTAGATTGCTATAAAATTAAATTAATACAGTATACATAGCAATAAACCATTGATACGCCATATATCACGGAATAATCTGCAATATAGATTAGATTGCTATAAAATTAATACAGTATACATAGCAATAAACCATTGATACGCCATATATCACGGAATAATCTGCAATATAGATTAGATTGCTATAAAATTAATACCGTATACATAACTATAAACCAATGGTATGGAAGAATTTTTGGCCAGCTCGCTTAAGTTGATGAATCATTTTTTTTATCTTTTGTTATAAAAGAACATTATTTTTAAACATTTATAAATTTGTATGAAAATTAATATTCATATTTTGTTTTAGCGTGTATTATGTATTTACAATTTTGATTTTTATGGTTAATTTTTGTTAAAAATAATACACAAACAAATTTACACTGTTTAATCATGTATATTGTTTTCTCTGCTATAAAAACGTCAATGAGCAGTCGCATAATGTATCGGCGCACAGGTCTAAATATAGCCAAGGGCCTACAATAAGTGGACTTAAAGACTCTCTCATTGGCCTAACATATAATGATCTCTGATATATATATATCAACCAAAAACCTTGCAACAATTATAGTTTATTATGAAATTTTTATATATATAAATATTACATAAATTATATAAAAAAAATTTTATAAATAATATTTAAAAAATTATATTAAAAAAAATAAAATAATAATTCTAAAAAAAACAGATTTGCCAACAATTATTATTTTTTAAATAAAAATCGCACGATTGTAAATAAAAAAAATAATATAATAAATAATTGTTTTTAATTGGTTCAGCGACATGTCGTATTATAAAAACGGTAAAAATTATTAAATGCTATAGAATCACGTGTTTAGGGTGGGGTGACAAATCGGCGGATGCATGGTTTAAAAAATGATAGCCCCGGCATACCGCGCGGTGATATAAAGGGAATAAGAAAATAAATTATTAAAAATAAGAAGCATAAAATGACATTTGAGTATTCATTTCACAACCCCCCTTTGCTATGCCATCATATTTATAAACATATGAGCGAATTTAGAATTTTAATGATTATTAAATGCACAAAAAATAATACGAGGATAAAAGCTTTGAATAACATTTAAATGAGAGGCAAATATTGAGATTTTTTTTGAGTAAAGATAACTTCAACTACATATTTTTTTTTAAAATACATAAATTAATGGAGGATTGGCTGTTTCCGGTTTTAATGGCAAATTTAACTATTCCGATTTTTTTTTTTAATAAAAAAGACCCTACTTTATTTCATTCGTTCGTATCGTCATTTTGAGATAGAATCTGGTCAAATATCTGTAAAGGATCTAAGGAACAGGTTCCGAAGCAAGTTCTGACACTCTTCAGATCACCGGCATTATCATCGAAACTGTCGAAGCGGTTGTTGCCGTTGCTAAATTTGTTGAGGTCAAAATTATTATCGCGAGAAGTGACCTGTATATCCTCTTCCTCGTAATCTCGGATTTTTTTGAGGTGGTGGTTGTAAGAAGACTGTGGCTTTGGCGGTCGGCAGAAAAAATTGTCGTTGAAGTTGTGGATATGATTTCCGCCGTTCTTCACGGAATCTTCGCGTTTTTTCGAAATATTTTCTACGCTTTTACCGCCACGGGGGGCAAAGTTATTATCATTTATTACGTTGAACGAATTAAGATTCGCGGAGAAATCGTTGATAGCGGCGGTTCCCCCGGGGAAGTTTTTAAATTTGTCGGGCTCGAACCTGCTATGATGATTGTTGAGATTGTTTTGGTTGACGGGATTGATGTTTTGGTTATTGGCGATGTTGCTATTATTCGTAAAATTCTTGAAATTAGGAGCCTTAACCCCTAAGCTGTACTTGCGATTCCTGAAATGATGTCCGCTAAATTTATGACGAGGTTCGTAATTGCTGTCTAAGCTGAGGGCGGGTGAAGAGTCAACATTTTTGGGGGCTGGTTCGGTACAGGAATAAATAAATAAAAAAATATATATAAGGTAACCAAGGAAAGGAAAAAATGCTTGAGGGAAAGAAATTTCTTTTTTTTTTATTGATTAAGGCCAGTGGGGATGCCAAAGATCGAACTACAAAATTATCCCAAGATTATCTTACCTCGGTGAATATATAAATCAACTTTTTCAAGGAATATGGAATATCAAAGCGGGCGTTTTTTAGGTCATAAAAAAAATGTGAGCACGGAAATTTTCGTATAGATATATTCTATAATTATCTAGATTGTTATAAATGTATATCCAATATGAACTAAAGATGTGTTAGATTTTATAACTGTATTTCAATCTAAGTCAGCATGTTTATAACTGTTTTTGAAAGGGTCCCTACTGTTGTATTTTTTTTTAAATAGTAAGGTTCTTAGTTATATTTTTTGTAATGTAATGACAAATAAAACTTACATTTTTTTAGAAAATATGTTAAATATTTAGGTACACGCACTTCATTCATTATCTGTACATTATGATTTCCCAAATTTAAGAATGCTCTTTATCTCCAATAATTTAGGTTTTGAAATTCCTTCTTTTTTTACTCCTCTCGCAAAATAATTTTTTTTTAACCGTTTTTTTTTAAAAAAAAAAATATTTTCTTAAGGATAATCAAAAAATAGATTTTTTTTATTACATTTTCCGTTTTGGCTCTGGAGTCTTTCTAAAAATATGAAACTAGTCACGATCAGAAAAAGGGGGGGGGGGGGGAAATGAAAAATTTAAATATCACGGCTAAGTTATTATTAAGTGCATATTTTCAGTAAATATTTTTTTTTAAATATAGTAACGGATATCGGCAAAAGGAATAGTATAAGATCAAGTGCCACTCTAAATCTCGTAGCATAAAATAATTCAATATTGATTTTGATGTGGGTTTCAACATAAAAAATAAAATAAAATTAATAGTATATTATATTAGATTAAATAAATAAAAACCTTTTAAAAAGGTTCAAAATTCTTTTTTATATTATATGTAATAATTATTGTTTTCAGGGCCGTAGCTAAGAATTTTATTTAAAGAGAAGGTGGGAGGGGGGGGGGTGTTGGGTGGAATAAAATTATTTCTAAAAAGATTATTAAGGAATTATGATAAATAGTCATACTTTAAATTTCATATTCATTTTAGAATTTTAATTAAGGGATTGCTAATTCAAAACACGAGCTCAATGTCTATTTTTGCTAATAATTACTTGTAAATTGTAATCCTTTTCTCTTAATAAATGTGAAATAAGTGATGGATTACCAATACTTTTACTCGTGGAGTAAAAAAAATATAGGCACAGGAGTCGACTTGAAGACTTGAGTTGACACTAGAGCCAACTAAATCAAGATGACTAATATATCCAAAACTCATTTTGAAGTCAGCTGTGACTAAATCCGACTTCTCTTCCAAGTTAAGATAATCAAAAAAAAACTTTCCCATTTAACACCAATCTCGCCATTTAGGGAATCTGAAAATAAAATCTCTCAGGAACCAATTTTATAAACAGGAGGAAATAACTTTTACAAATCATAGTAAGAATTTTAAAAAAAACTTCTGTCACTGGAATTTCTTCGTCTGTTCATGGAGGAGGATTTGTAAAGATCCAAAAAACTTTCTGAAAAAATAAAATAGAATCAAAAAGGTTATTTATAAAAAAAATATATAAATTTTAAACCTTCGTTATTCGTATTGGACTGAGCTAGCAATGGGTTACGGTAAAAGGCCTGCAGCTGTGCGTGCAAATTTTGAAACGTGGGTCTTTCATTGGGTTCCCAGATCCAGCCTTTTTGCGGATACATAAGAGAGTGATTATAAGAAAAATAAAATAATCTTGATTAATGGTTATACAAGACCGATTCATGATCCGATCCCTTAAATTAGCATGCGGATCAGACTTGGCACGTGATATTAATGATTTTTTTCTCATTTCTCATCCGTCTTGTAGAGAAATATCTTTTATTACTACTAGATATCCAATAAGTTAAGTAATCTAATCTCTATTGGCTCTGTGCCGATTCAAGAACCTAAGTCCCTGCAATCCCTATTTTTACTTATAACACCCCCTGATTAGTGATCTCAGCATTCTACACATCTATCATCCAAAAAACTAGAGATTTATAAGATCGGTCGGAACCCGGATCTTCACTCTTTGGATCTTGTCAGTTAATTAGTCGGTTCTCAACCAGTTTTTTTTTTAAATTATTCAAAAATACAATTTTTTACAAATATGCGGCCCGACTTTTAAATAAATATATATTGGATTTGTCGAAAAAGCACGATATTTCAACGAAATAGAAATTATGGGCGTTTAAAGATAATAATTTCCTGAAAATAATTTTCATTTAAAAACAATTGTAAGGAGAATAAAATAATTTTCGATATACGAGTCCGTCAATCAAGGTCCAAATGTTAATAAATATTTTTTTTTTCAGTAAAATCTGACAGGTCACAGCCGGGTAATCAAAATATTTTTGGATCCGGTTCAATATCAGTTTTAAAAAATGGATCCGGTACAGCTCTAAATCAATATCTTATCTTGCACGTTGGTCATAGACCTGCCCAAGATGAGCGAACGTCTTTTTTTTCTGTTTTATAGGTTATTTAAAATCAGAGACCTAAATGAAATTATTATTACATTTCAGCATAAGGGAGTATACGTTCTCTGGACAGGTGCTGGGTCTTGACATCCTGTAATCCTTCTCCAAGAATTGCAAGACTTGACTCAATTCCACGGAAGGGTATGGCTGGCTTCCCATGCTAAATATCTCCCATAGTAATATGCCAAACGCTTTTTTTTGTTTTGTTTTAAAGTAAAAAAAAAAAATATGGTTGATTAAAAAAAAAATTTGCATACTGTTTTTATTAAGTCACATCATTTCATTGACTGAATATGAACAAGGAATTATTCGATTCGAATGAAACGAATATTCGGTAAAACGAATATTCGGCAAAGGAATCTTTCGATTCGAATGAAACATATTCGGCAAATTATTCGGAATAATGATTAAATTGTAGAAACTAATTTGCTGTGAAAAAAAAATCAAAAATTAAATTTATTTTTTGCCTCGAGTTCATTCATTCTTGGCAGTTACCCGCTACCCATTCAATTTATTCCCTTCCCTTTCTCCCGCTTTCCCATCCCCCGTTCCCTTCGCCGTTTTCTCTCCACTCTCTACTAAAAAAAATTTACAAAAATATAATTCAAATTAATACAACACTCCTAACCCCAAACGTCGGATTTGGCTGAGAATTTGTTACGCGCCAAGCCCTCGGGGGCCGTCCATTTTATGGGAAATTTGGCGCCGGGTTTAGCGCAATAAAAAGCGGTTTGAGGCGAAAGTTTTCTGGCCAACCCAAAATCGGCCACTTTGCAGGTAAACTTACTACTGGTCGTTTCCCTGTCGTTATTGCTAATCGCGTTTTGGGTGGGTGAGTGGGTTTGTAACAACACGGGGTTATTTGGCGAGCTGGATCGGGAAACTAAAACGTTTCGCGCGGCTAGATCTCTGTGAGATTCGAAATTATTTTTAAAAAAATATAAACCTAACAATAAAGATTATCTGTTCAAACTCGTGTGAAACATCATTCAGAATTTGTTAGGCCATTTTAGCTTTTAAATACATGATGAACTATGTTTGAAAAATAAAAATTCCCGGGATAATTTCTCATTTTCAGTTCCATTTTTAATATATCAACAGATGTAATATTGGATCCCGATTAGATATACAACATATGGCCACACCGGTCAGAAGGGTATATGGCTCTTCTTCGTTTTATAGGTCTAAAAATTAAGTTCTTTACAGGAAATCCCCTTTAAGTATTATCATTTAGGAGTCCGACCTGTCATTCTAAATACATTACCTTCATAATTCTTTTAATATCCCCCCCCCCTTCGATTTTTAATTCATATGTTATATTTATTTGTTTATTTTTATATAAATAATCTATATAATTTTTTTTTACTTTAAAGGTGTATAAATTAGAAATTTTAATAGTCAATCGAAAATGAAATATAATGTAAAATATAGGGCTGTGCCGATATTTAAAGTTTCCCAAAAATATTGGATCGGGCCGATACGTGTAAAAACCAAGATCCGTTATTTTTACTAAAAATGCGATTCTTAAAATTTTTGAGTAATGAAACTTTGAATTATTATTACATCATATTTATTATTTTTTTAATAAAAAAAGTTTTTTAAAATTATAAATTTCCCAGAGTTTCAGCGAGTTACTATTTTACACTAATAATATTTTCTAAATAATATTTTTTTAAACAATGCAAATGTTATTTATTTTTTTAAAATAGATTTTAAAAGTTTTTTTTATAAAAATAGAAAGGAACACCCAAAGTTTTTATTTAATTTAAATTTTTAATACTTTAAATAAAAGAATTATTTTAAATATGGTTTCTGAATTATGGAAATATTTTAAAAAAGGTAAAGATAATTTTGCAAAATGAGTTATCTGTCTGCGGAATTCTAATTTCATGGAGAGGAATACTGAAAATTATTTTAATCTAATAAATTATAATTTTATATATTAAATATTACAATTTTATAATTCATACCAACATAAAATTGATATATTATTATATTTATTTTATCTATTATAATATAATTTTTTTTAAAAATTATTGTTGAAAATAAAAAAATTAAATTAAATGCATAATTCTTTTGCATAAAAAAATATTGATTTCTTTTTTAAATTTGGTTCAAAGAGGGGTGGTGAAAAATCAATATAAATATCGGATCAATATCGGTTTTAAACCAATATCGGATCTGAGAAAAATATGTGGATCGGCATAACCCTAATAAAAAAACATCATTTTATCAATATACAGCAAGCCAGGCCCGGCCTGGGTACATGGGTGGGGCTGTATTTTAATTTTTTTAAATATACCTTAAAGGGACCTGAAATTTTTTAAATACCCGGGCCGGGCCTGAAAAATAAAATCCGGGCCGAAAAGTGCATCCAAACCTTGCTAACATCTATGAGTAAAATATCCAGGCTCGCGTAAATCTGAAAGTGAAGGGTTAAAATGACACTTCGCGAAGTGAGATGTTATATATATAGATTTTTTACTTGTGACAAAAGTAGGTCTAAATTATTATATGGTTCACGTTATTATTTTTTCTTTCATTTTTGTCGTGGAGACAAACCGCGCTCATCTAGTTCCCCGCAAAATAAACCTTCTGGGGTGAGGTGGTGTCGGTATTGAATCTCACTTTGTTGTCTCTCGTTAGCATTGGTGACAATTATTTCTAAAGTTAGAAAAAGGCGGATAGCCATGCTTACCCAATAGTTCCCGTTTTTGAGTTCAAATATTCCGCTTTGATCGTCGATATCAATTTCAGACGCTATCCTACAAGATAATGTGTCAGCTGTCCTTGCTTGTACGGGATTCAATTGTGGCTCTTTTTAGATCTGACTCATTGAGTGAATACTTTTCAATTGAATTCAAATTCAAATATTCACCAATCAGTGAAACTCGATTGAACATTTCAGACAAAGGTGTTGTTACATGCAGAAAATAATCTTCTATTCATTATTTTAACCCTATACTTATTGCTTCCTCAATAAAAGCTCCTTTAAAAGTTGCAAAGTATACATATTTAAATACAAATCATCGTCTTGGATATACCGATTGAGACAGATGAATTTATGAGTTGAGAAAATTTACCCAGATTTTTTAAAAAGTATCAAAAAATGTTGTTTAAAATTGTTGCTCCTATAAATGAGTAGGAAATTCAGATCTAAAAAAACATGACCAACCAGAGCCATAGGATCCTGTAGGAACAAGCAAGGCAGATTACAAAGTAGAATTGACAACGATGATTAAAAGCGGAATATTTGACAAAAACGCAATACTTTTGTTAAAGCTCAAGTCGATCAATTTTAATTCAAAAAAAAATTATAATCATATTTATTCGTTATAACTACGATGACACCTTTCAATCATATGTAATGTACAACTATCAAAATAAGCTGTATTATTGTATTCTCCACCGAGAATTCGAGTTAACTGTGAATAAGGTGCCATGCTTATAATTTAATTAACGAAAACCAAACAGTCATAAATATATTGTCGGGGAGTTAATAATATATTATTAAAATGCTCTAATAAAAAGTGATATTTACAAGGGTACGGAAAAATAGACCCTCCCTAAAAGATTATAAACATACTAAAAGTTTTTGTTTAGTGTTAAAACATCCCATCTACGAGGCCCCCTTCCCTACCTATAACATAAAACTGAGCAAGGTACAGACCTGTGAATATAATTCCTGGTTTCCAGGTAGGCCATGCCAGAGGCTATTTGAGCTGACATATCAATCAAATTCCTTTCCGTTTCGGCGTTCATCAACGAAGAAGCCTAAATTAATGGCGAATAAAAAATAATAAAATTTTGATACAAACATAACAAAAAAATTTAATTATTATTTTCTAACTAAGTGTTGGGGGGGGATTAAATAAATATTGGCTTAAGGAAATATACAAATCTTGAATGGCTAGAACTATACCACTAAATTCTAACATATTCTAAAAAATTGGTCACCCGACCTGAACCGAACCTCTAAAAATGGCTTGTGAACCGGTTATAACCTTTCGATACAACTCTTTTTAAAGATGATAACTAATCAGTTTCGATCAAAAAAATGTACGAGTAATTATTGTTCGAATAATTTTTCTATATTGCTATTTGAGGGTGCCTGCTAGCCAGGTTGGCATAAAGAAGTGTTCTCAGAGCTTAAAATTTTATTCTTCCTATTTATAAGTTATAAAATTGACAGAAGAGGATCTTGTAAATATTTAAATAGTATACGGCTCAATATATTATGCTTTAAAGAGAAAAGGTCTGAACCGGTTTTTAAGGGTTCAAACCGAACCGTTACTGTTAGGATCCCTGGTTAAATAGCATTGCAAAAAGTAATGATACTTTAAATTTAAATAATATTCAAATTTTACGTACTGGTGGGCTAAGGAATAAGAATTACATAGGTATGTAATTTTATTCTGAGAGCTAAATTTTAAAAAAAAAACCGAAGGTGAAACTCTGTTGGTGGAAGTTGCAAATGACGAAAATACAAAATTGCTAAGATTTTTTATTAGTTTTTTTTTAAGTCTCCGCTAGAAGCAGGTGGCTGTTTATATTTGCGGGAAAGGATGAGAAACATATATAATGCCACAGGGGATGATATTGGTTAGGCCGTCGAATCTTAGACCATCATCAGTTGATAAAATACAAGGTTCTAGAATATCAGGTACCACGAGTCTTTTTTTTTAAAGGAGGCTCATTAATTTACTTATAGAAGATGCTATGACGCCCATCTTGGCTTTTAGAGCAATAAGATCATGCATTTACTTGGAGGTAGCGGTTCATGTAATGATGAATTTGAACCAGGCCACAGCCCAGTCTATATTCTAAGGTCACTCTAAGTTTTTCATTGGCTGCGAGATTTCTCGGGGTTTTTGCTCGGTATGGCTATTGTTTGTTTTAAAAAATTTATTTTTTTTTGCTAGCCTTAAATTCCAAATAATTTTCCATATTTTAAAAGTAATGTAATCACCATACAAAAAATGTGTTTAAAAAGTTTTCGATTAAGTCACTGATTAGATTTTTTTTTCTCTCTAAATTCTGAGCCTTCTCTGGCTATCGTAAAACCCCATATTTAAAAGATGTTTTGCGTAAATTCAAAAATAACTTGTATTTTAGGGTAAATGTATAACCCCCCGTCCCCTCCTTCCTTTTCCAAGGTTGCCATGGTCGTGAGCATGAGCAAGGCGCTCTTATTACCCGACCATGCTAAAAATTTGGCATCCGTTTATGATAAGAATTATTTATATTTATTGTGGATTATTAGATAATTACTTGTTTTTTTTCCTCTTATATTTTACAAATTTAAAAAGTTAAATAAAATGAATAATTTTATTAAAAATATAAAATATTTTTAAAAAATTGAATATTTTTATATAACATATAAATCGAAAATTATTTTTCAAATTGTTTCGGGAAAACTTATCGCTTTAAATTTAATTGACGATTAATTTATATTTTCCATTATTTTGAGTGATACGGAAAGGGGACTTTGTTAGAATGTCCATTTTTTGAATCAATTTTTTTTTATAAAAAAAAAACTTGTTAACTTGTATTTATAAATAGACGTATTAAAACCCAACCCTCAGGTCTAGTAGATTTTTGACAATCAGTAATTAATTTAAAAGCGTCATATCATATATGGTTCCCTAATCATCGATGCGCCTAATTATCAAATGTCAAATGGGGCAGCAGCATTACTATTATATAACGTTTGCAAAAAATATATATAATGGCGCGAATTGCCTGATCGATAAAATCTGTGATTGAAGCAAGGATGATGTGCCAAAAGTATTGTATTTATAAAAGAGAAAAAGTATGAAAAGGGGGGTAATAAAGATTCGAAATTCAGTTAAGGCATAGATTAGGTGGTAAAAAAAAGGAAAAGATTGGGGAAATAAGTTATAAGAGCGAGGGGGGCTCAATTGTAGATTAGAATAATATATAGTAAATTAGAATAGGTTAGGTAAATATATTGAAGTTACATAACTATTAAGCCACGAAGTCGAAATTGGATATTTGAGGGCTTCGAGATACATTTGATAATAAGACCCAGGCAGAACCCGTGGACGGCTATAAAGATAAGCTCGAAGAATAGCCCCAGATTGAACACCGGAGGTGCATAGCGTTGCAGGAGAGAGGGGCACATTATAAACCGGTGTCTACAAAGGAAGGAAACTGGTGGAGGGCAGCGATTATTAATGTCGAGTGGTGGTGGGGATAACCGGCAATCAAGCATCGACGAGTGGGATAACGGAGAAGACGGAAGGGCTGCGAGCGGCCACTTTGGACATGCGAAGGATGACTGACGAGTTCCCAAACCCGATATCCGAAGAAGTAGTGTGGACGGCCACATGACCGCGCGAAGATGTGGAGAGTGCGATTGGGAATTGGAATCAAGATGAACAAGAGTCAGGCGGAGGGACCAATGATGATCCCAAAGGGAACATAGGATAACCCCACGCCTGCAGCATTGAGTCAAGAGTGATTGTCCGGCAGAAGATTTGGAGGCCACTTATCTGATACCCGAGTTTGTAGATTGGCTGGAATATGCCATATCGGATTCGGAGTTAGTTTGTACTGGGCAAGGACAATGGGTTTTTGCGAAAGGGGAGTTGTGATGATATATTATATGACATTGTGTATTTTTTTTGTAGGGCGATAATTATTTATATTAATATTAATTTTGTTTAGTTCTTTTTGTTGCAATAAAAATTATGTTGTCGTTATTAATAAATATAACTTTTGTTTGTAGAAATATATATATATATATATAAAACATAACAAAATATTTATTATTGTCCTTCCAAATATTTTTTCCTAGTGTGTAGTTTTAAAAATCAGTTTCGCGTCTGTAATCGTACCAAGTATCAAAATAAAGGTAAATATAAACATAAATTATTACCAAAGGGAAATTAACCCAATATAAACAGAAGAAAATCATCGATTCCCCTTCAAACAAAATAAAGTACTTCCCAGTGTAGCATTTAGTAGTCTCCTCTTATATTTTATTTTGCTTTTTCTTCAATTTATATGTATTATATATATATATTTCTACAAACAAAATAATATATATTTATTAATAATGATAACATAATTTTTAATTGCAACAAAAAAAAATTAAACAAAATAATATTGATACAAATAGTTATCGCTCCAAAAAAAATATCAATAAAAATAATTATCGCTTTACAAAAAAAAATACACAATGTGATGTATTATATCATAACTCCCCCTTCACAGAAACCCATTGACCTTGCCCAGTTACAAACTCTATCTCCGAATCTTCTATGGCATATTCCAACCAATCTAAAACTCGGGTGTTAGACAAGTGGCCTCCAAATTTTCTCCCAAACAATCCTCTTATTGAAGTGATCCCAGGCGTGGCGTCACCCCATGTACCCATGTTCCCTTTAAGGTCATCGTTAGTCCCTCCGCCCAACTCTTGTTCATCTTGATTGCAATTCCCTATCGTACTCTCCACATCTTCGCGTGGCCGGCCGTTCACACTACTTCTTCGGATATCGGGTTTGGGAACTAGTCAGTCATTCCTCGCATGTCCAACGTGACTGCTTGCAGCTCTTCGCCCTCTCCGTTATCGCGATAGTCAATACTTGATTACGAGTTATCCCACGACCGTGTGACGTTGAAAATCGCTGCCCTCCACCAGTTTCCCTCCTTTGCGGACACCGGCTTAGTGCACTTCCTCCTGCAATGGTAGCACCTCCAGTGTTCAATCTGGGGCTGGGTAATTCTTCGAGTTTGTCTTCCTAACCGTCCACAATGATCCAGGGTCTGCCTGGGTCTTATTATCAAATGTTTCTCGAAGTCCTCAAATATCCAACTTCGACTCATTTCCATCCTAAATTCATAGCTTAATAGTTATGTAACTTTTATATATTTACCTATTCTAATTTACTATATATTATTCTAATCTACAATTCAGCCCCTCTCGCTTTTATAACTTACTTCCCCAATTTTTCCTTTTTCTTTTCTGTATACCACCTAATCTATGTCTTTAGTTTTTTTAAAAAAAATACTTTTTATGTCCCCTGCTATACTTTTTTTTCAAAATAAGTAATAAACTTTTAGCATATCATCCATACTTTTCCCAATTCTAATTTAATCTTAACTTTCCCACTATGATTTATTACCCTTCTCTTTCATAAAAACAATACTTTTAGCATATAACCCTTACTTCTGGGTCAAACTTCTGTAAATTGATTCACTTCACGCGTTTAAGGCATATGGGGGTTATCTTTGAATCGTCTATTTTATATAAGTCACATTATGCGTTAAAAAATTGATCCGAAGATTGGCATTTTAACTTAGTCCCTCTCCATCATTTGAAATAAATTATAGGTATCGATCGTTCACATCATTTATATTGAATTTCTTTCATAATTTTTCTTTCTTTCTTTTAACAATCGTTATTTCTCTCTGTAAGACATTTAATCGTTAAAATATCAGTGTTCAGGTATAAGAGGAAGATCATGTGAATAGATTGCAAAAGCATAATTTCATAAAATTAAATTGAAACTTAATAGTGTAAATAAAGAGTTTAATCAATGAAATGTTTATAGGGAAGGGAAGGTTTTACTAGCTGGCTATCATCATATAAAGCTGTTGTAAAGTTTTTTCTACTTTATATGTCTTGAAGGTAGCTTTGACAAATTTAAAGGATTCTGAAGATTCTGCTACTTCTACCAGGGCAAATGCTATTGTTTTTAGAATAGAAAAATCTTATTTTATCACTTTGTCTTTCGGGTAAAATATTATTGACAACAAGTTTGGGTTGTACAAATTTGCAAACCATTTCGAAGGGTATAGTTTGCAATAAATCAAATTCAATTGGCAAAAAGATAACCTGATTGATTTAAGAAGTATAATTTAAATTATTCTCTTGAATTATTTTTTATTAAACCTAACAGATAATAAACACTGAATCTGTTAATGTTCTTTCAAAAGCACAAAATTTAATGAAGTGGAGAAATCTATCCTTTTGATTTTGAAAGTTCTAGAGTTCAAACATTACAATCCAAAAAAGAGGAGGTGTACATACTTTCATTATTAAATATAATATTTTATTTTAGCTAATAAAACAAGTTTATGCTGTACTTGATTCGATCATTATGCAATTTAATGAAAGATTCAATGATGAACCGATGAAATTTTTTTAGATCAAAAATCTTTTTTTTTTCACCAAAGGGAATGGCGGAAGAAAGTGCAGGGGCCCATTTAAACCTACCCTGTATAATTTATATATATAGTTCTCAAACACTCAATTTTTAGAGAGAGCTTCTGGGTGTTCCGTCCTCAATATTGGCTAATTATTTTTTTTTTTAATTTTAAATTAAATTATGTCCTCAAAAATGAGAAAAAAATTCCGAGATTAGAAAACTCTTAATAAATCAATGGAACGATATTTTAAATCCTAAACTTGTTTCCAGAACATTCTTTTTTTTATATCGAATGATTTTTAAATAACTGACCGAATTTAGCTTCTGCACGTACTCCAACAAGTTGCCGCCTCCCATGTATTCGGTTATAATGTAATAAGGAGCGCATTTGATACACACACCTTCGAGATTTTAATATATTTTTAAATTAAAAAGTAAGTTAACTGACTTAATTAAAAGCATTCCAGGAACAAAATTCTCATAGTTCTTTCTTTCTTTTCTTTACGTTCTTTCTCTTTCTTTCTTTCTTTTTCGTTCTTTATTTTTTTTTTCTCCGTTCTTTCCTTTGTCATTTAAAAATAAATAAATAAAATGCTAATGTACCTAGCAACTGAACCAAATTTGGGTGCTTCATTTCTTTCATGATGCAAGCTTCTTGCAAAAAATCGTTAAAGGCCATCGTTTCTTCCTGTAAAAAAAATATGGCGAGTATTAAAAAAAATTCTTAGATATATTTTAGATTTTATTCATAAATTCACTCGTAATTCAATTTAAAATGCCTTGATTTCAGCTATTGCTGTAAAGAAAACCTTTTTGAGGATTAGGTTTCCATTCGTTACTTATTTTTCCTTTTTTCACAAGATAAAGAGTAACAGTAATGTGTTCCTTTTTTTTCAAAAGTAACGAGTAATGGCAATTTTTAAATTAACGTTTATAAGGACTAATTTTAACCCATCCGGTGAGCGAGGTACAGCAATCTAACGTAAAAACAGACCTGAAATTGTTTATTGAAGGTTATCTTAGAATCCTGGTAGACACATATATATATATATATACACTTAGAAAATTAGGGAAAAGATATATGCTGGAGGATCATTAGACCGGTAATATTTGTATAGGGTGGAATGCCGTGATTACGAGAAACGGCTTTATGTATGTTCTAAGATTAATGGGAATGCTCACAGCTGGATACTAGTGTAAATAGAGATTGGGGCGAGTCAAGAAAGCGAAAGGGATCCAAGAATGGGTTGGCAGAACACAGGGAAAATAAAAGAAAAGAAAACATAGCGTGGCTAGGAGAATTTGAAACGTAAGCGGAGAGGGGGCGCTGAAATCTTAAGCCTAACGGATGATATAGATGTCAAGGGGAGTCAAAAAATTGATTCCTTACTTTTAAGGTTTTAACGGCCACCTTGACCAGACTCGATTGATTGTTCGCGGAATTGCTAAACAGATTGGCTTGATAAACATCGCCGTATTGGCCTGACCCTAAATTGTAAAAAATAAATAAATATTTATTCTGTTATTAAAATTTTAATAACTAAACTATTATTTTCCATTTAATTTTTCTGTCATTCCTTTTATTTCTAATGCTTTTCGTTTCCTAAAAAGGGTTTGAGAATCTCTTTCCTACTTGATCAACACGGGAAACACCTGCCCAATTAGAGCACACTTTTTAACGACTAGGGAGTAACTATTATCATTTTTTTTGAGCAGATATCGGGAAGATTTAGCGCTCAACTAATAATTGATTACTGATTAACGCGGTTTTCGAACCCAATAATATTAAAATATTGGCGCCATTTACAACAACTAGCTTAGAATACATGGAACCAAAAAAGAAACAATTCTATTTTTAAAAGAACTAAAAGTGAAATGAAAATAAAAAAAATGCAGTGTTCTAAGTCTCTGACAATAACCTTTCTTGTAAGTGTAGTTTAAATATGATTATAGGGGAAAAAAATAAATATATGTATTATACCGATTTTGTGTTTAAGCGTGATAAGATCCCGATCCATCTCTAACGCGTTCAACCGTCGGCTAAGCTCATCATTGCAATACTCTGGCGGATGAATGGATTTTTTATTAGGGTCGCTCGAAACGGGGTCGTTTCGGGGAATTAAATTATCTTTGCCCGCAGCCTCTTTACGATGACTTAAACTTTTATCGTTCCCACCACCGCAACCGTTTTGCAAGAGGGACACTTCGCCACCGTTGGTAAGGCGGAGGGCGTTAGGAACAAAATGGCTACTAACACCTAGATTGGCTGACGTCGAACCGGGGATAGGGTAGTTGTTAGCGACGGAAGAGGGTGGTAATACAGGATAATTTTTGGTTAGGGGGTGCAGCAGGGGGCACACCAAGCCATTGGCCCGAAAAGAGTGGTGGTGAATTAATTCGGCCAAAGTTCCGAAACAGTTTTCGGCTACTATAAAGTACTAGTTATTTTATTTTAAAAAATATTTAAATAGACATTTAATGATTAGTTATGTTTAAAAAAAAAATACTATTGATATTTCCTAGGCATGACTGGGCACATACCCTCTCCTTAGCTTCCCCAACTTTAATTACAAATAAGGAATAGAAAGGTAGCCAATATTCTTATAATTCCAGCAACTCTTACCTCCATTGGCAAAGTGAACACAGACATTAAAAATTACTTTATTCTGCGTTAAATCGCTAATCGATTGGCCGATCTTTTTCACTTCTTCTTCGTCGCGTTCGTAGCTATCGTCGCTTGTCTTACTCTCGGTTTTCCCGGAATTATTGGCGCCAACTTTGCAATTCTTGTAATTTTTATCGTCCTTGTGATGATTGACCCTGTCTAGCTTGAGGGCGTGGAGAAACATATCGGCTGACTTTTTGGGGGCCGATTTCGAGTCGAAACTCGTGGAGTTCGAGGTACCGCCCGTTTGTCTTTGCGACGCGGGCACGCACGACGAGGTAATGGACGTGGAGGATGGGGCAGAAGATGAACCCGTGTTATTGATCCTGTAATGGTAGACCTTGTCATTGAACCTCAGGGAGACCGAATATTGACCCGGAAGTGATTCGCTCTCTCTCACTATGAAGTGGCCGTTTCCGGATCCCGGGGTAGATGCCAAAAGTTCTTCCGCCCTTTTGCGAGAGAGGGAACCATGGTACCAAGGGAACAATCTAGTAGCATCGCGAACAAACGAATAAAAAATTGGTGAATAATATACAAAATTTAAAAATTGTCAAAAGCTAAATTATTGTAAGGCGTAGGTCCATTGCCTTCGCTAGTTTTCCAAAAAAAAGGGTGAATATCTAACTGACAACAGCTCAGTAAAGTGTCCATCTAAATCAATCAAATAGTGTATAACGATGGTATACGAAGCAGCTCTCTCTCAATCCCTCCAAATGCTTATAAAAATTCAAAAAAAAAAATTGGCCAATGTCAAATGGATCATAGATATAATGATAACATATGGTTTTAGTGAATGTTCATGGCTAAGATTCGGTAGTATCTAAACCTACCATGTAAATTTCAGACAATTAATCGGTAGAATATCGTTTCAAAATAAAATTGATTCAAAGATTCACGTTTTAGAATTTTCTCAAAATCTTTAGGATAGGTGCTATACATACTCCAATACATTTCCGGCATGATCAATTTTTTTATAAAATTTAAAATTAGCAAAAAACCTGAGTCAATGAAGCCTAGCCCTGAATTAACTAAAACATTACAAGATATATATATATTGGTCATTTTGTATATTAATACTCGTCGCGGGTATCTTTGAGGTCGTTGCAGGCGGGCGATAAGAAATTGGCCGGAACCCAGCCGGTCATTTGAGCGGCTATTTAAAATAAATTATAGCGTATTAGTAATTGAATAATTCATGATATTTTCGTCTATTTATTTCAGCTAGTAACATTTTTAAAAAAAATTCTAAAAAAGATTTAAAAAAATGTTAATAATCTTCTGCTTAGCTTTTAGTTATGCTAATCGATAAACAAATTTATATAATTTTTTTTTTAAATGGACGAATTAAAAGATTGGTGGCCATTTTGGAAAAATCAGAAAAAAATAATTTTATCTTATATCAACGTGATGTGAGCAAGGTTCAATTAAAAGAATCGGAAATATAATAACTTTTCATATTTAGACGGATGTGATATGATTACTTTTAATAGGGGTTTACAAATATCCCAAAATCCTACCTTCAGCCTCTTCGTGGGTGTGGAGGGGTGGCAACGTCTTTTTGCGGCTAATGGAGGTCTGACGGGGGTGTAAAAACCACCTAAAGGGAGGGTCGATGTCAGGAAGGGCGTCCGATTGTAAAAACCTTGCTACAAAATTTCCTAATGATTTAAATCAAAGAGGTAAAACTGGCCAACCTGGCTAAACCTGGAAATCGCCATCAAACGGAGAAGAAGAAGAAAAGGATTGTATAAATAATAATAATTATAATTATGCTTACATTTATGACAATCTAGGGAATTAGGCGCTTTGATCATGTACCAATCCTTCTGTTTGGACTGACTCACGTATTCGAGTATTTGACCTGGTCCCATTAAAATAAAATAAACATATATTTTATTATGAATAAGGAAAATATTGTTGTATGCGCCAATGACATTCTACCTAGACCGAAGAATTCATATATGGTGCCAATATGAATCAACGGATAGCAACGCCATTTTGGTTTCACATTTGTAATTAATATCAAAATTCAGTTTCCTAATTGAAACCGATCGGGTAAATTAAAAAATTTACCGGCATAAAATAATGGATCCTGGTACATCTCTAGTATATATATATAACTATATGGGAAACCAAAATGGCGTATCACCTCCAAGACTCTTCAAAGTGCGTTTTAATGAATAAATCGTCGGTCGTATTAAAATGTAATAGGCATTCGATAGTAGTGACTGACTCTACGGCGGAGAACTCCTCCCGCCACTAATTTCTGATTTAGGTTTTGAATGTGGTACTAAAATGTATGGTCATTTTCTCCATTATAACGGGTATAATAACCCGGTTATAAAATTAAAAAATATCGACGGTAAGAAGGAAGTGTGAATGTGAAGGGTTAGTCGTGTGTAAACTGTCAAGGCTCCTAATCGTGATTCGGTTTCCCGACACTATACCAAGAAGAACCTAGAACTTGTTTTATTTTTTTAGCGTTCAACCAGAATGGAGGAAGCAGGACTGAAGAAGTGCGACATATTTTGCCCATAAAACACGGAAACATTTATGAGAATCATAAAATGTAATTATTCGAGGAACAATATGCAACGGGTCAGAAAATAATGCGCATTCCAACCTTCTCTTCGAGTCCCTATTGTGATGCCAATCGGTCCGTTAGCTGACAATCTCCGAGAACAAAACTTTCCTATAGGGAGGATTATACAACTTCTAATACTATAAGTCGTAATTCTCTATCGTTATTTTCTTTTACTTCTTATTTGCAGCAACGATTTGGTAACCATAAAATATAGTTCATAACTCGATGGATTTTCTGGGAATAAAATTATAACGAAGGTCATATTGTGCGCGTGGTATATTTAGGTAACGGGTAAAAAAAATAATCCGATTCGACTCATGCGCACGTCAAGAAATAATTGTGAAGCATTGAGGCGCGAATTAATTTATTTCCGCCTTCTTCATGTTAAGATGTCAAAAACCAGGTTTCGCCGTATTCTAGACAGCTAAAAAATCACCTTACGGTGTTTTTAAATTGGATTGCTTAGTTTGTTAGCTAAGTGGAAATTTGTTTTTATAGGTTTTGAAAACGTTCACAATTGCGCTTAATCATGGCGTATAAATTAATCAGTGGTTAATATTGGAGCATATTTATATAATTTTTACCGCATTTCCTACGCAATGTAAGATAACCTGAACAAACCCCATTAGATATACATCGTAAAATTTTTTCGTCTCACATTTCTCCCAAGTGAATTTTTTTTTCTTCTTATTTCGTATCTCGAGAATCGACGTCATCAAAGGAACGGGCCACGTGACCGTCAATCGTCCGGTCTGAGCAAATCAGTTTTGGCGAACCCGAACAACCAATTATTTTTAAAAAAATAAACACATTTCCTATGATTAATTTACCCTAACTTTTGCATTCATACCCCGGTCTTCCTTTTCGTTATTTTTTTTTGAAATCTCATCTTGAATATTCAAGATGACGAATCTTAAAATGATGACGATGATTTAATGAAGTGGGTGTGGGTGGTATCGAAACATGATTAGAATAAGAAAACTTTTGAAGCCTAAGTAAACCGGAAGAGGCTAGGACCGAACTTCGACGACCATTAAACTAGTCAATTTTTAAGTCTAGTAGAGGTGCCGATCAAATTCTAAGTAACGTGGTACTTCCTTTCCCGCTAAGGGTCCTTAAAAAATTTTCTAAATATATATTTTTTTTTAAAAAATAGACACAACAATTTGGGGTGTCGAGTAAAATGTGCTGGCCATATTACTCGCATATCTACTAAAAAAGGGATTCAGGCGTCCGCTGGAAGGGTTTTTATTGATAGACGGAATGTCATTCAGGTAATTTGATTGGTGGTGTTGCGACAAGATGGTGATTGGCAGTATGAAACACTCGTTCAAAAGATTCGCCGTCGTGCACGTTAACAATCGCGACCTAACTGTTTTTCATTATCTATCTCTTTATAATATTGTGTGCCAAGGATTAAGAATGGTTCGCGTAAGATGAGGAGTTCTAAATTTTCGAAGATTTCTATCATCCTTACGCCCCCCCCCACCCCCCCCCCTAAGGAGTATGGAGTAGTTACTCAAATATTTTTGAGATATAAATTATACATATCGTCGCTTGAGAATTAGATTATTCTATATCCACTCTTTGTCAAAATTGACTTCTTTTCATTTTTTTTATTACATAAATCAAGTTTTTGATCATTAAAAAAATCCGAAATATTTATAAAAATAACCAAAATTTAATCCGATAACAAGTTTAGCTAATTCTCTTGAAAACAATAGAAACTTAAAATTTCTCGCCCGCTAAATTTCAAAAAGTGGAGTTGGAACAATCTAATTCTCGGGCGATAATACAAAAACTTTTCGAAGAACCCATATAACTTGTTTTTATTAAAATTCAACCGATTCCTATGGAGGAACAAAAAAATAGATAGATCCGATATATTTTTAAAAAAATTGTTCTCCAGTAAAATTACAAAAAAGTGGAGTTGGAACAATCTAATTCTCGGGCGGTTATACGAAAACTCTTCAAAATACATGTATTTATTGTTTTAAATTAAAATTCAACAAAATTTTTCAGGAGGAACAAAAAATATAGATAAATCCGATATCGAGGTTTTTATTTTAAATAAAATTTGAAATGAAATAAAATAAAAAAAGATTGAATGAATGAATATTTAAACCTTTTTTCAAAAGGAATTGATTAGGCGCGGTGACGTTGTAATCGTAAAGCAAAACGAGTTTAAGGTTTTTCAGACGTTCCTCACATCTATCCACTGGAGAATCTAAATTCGGGTAACAAAAATTAGGATTTTTAAATCATTCCAAATGTCAAATCACATAAACATCTGCCCACCCCATCCCTGTCAATTTTAATAAAATATTTATGACGGTAACTTATAGTTTTCTATATAGTTGGATAATGGCTAAATGTCGGCTCGATCTTCAATCGCCTACCGCAAAAAATCCGTTTAAAATTACGGCGTTTTTTAAAAAAATTTAAGCTGCTATCTTCTTAGAAAAACCCGGGGTAAAAGAGATAGTTTTGGCCGTAACCCCCAAAAAAACCAAGTTTTCTAGCTTTTATCATTTTCCTGAAATAATTAGGGGTCAAAAAATGCCTAAAATTCACCATTTTTTATTTTACCTTTCTTGCTCGTCGCATTAATTACCATAACTTCTTCGACTGAACATTAAGTGGCCATCCATGAAAAATTTTAATCAATTTAATTATAGATATTCTATTTGGTTGACAAATTTATCAAGTTTCTATCAATGATATAAGCATGGTTAATTTTTTTTCCCCTTTTAATTCTCCTCCCCCCCCCCTATTTCAGAAATTATAAAAAAAGCTGAAATTTCGTTTTTGGTTTAACTAGAGGAGTGAATGTAACTATCATAATTTTAATTAAAAATCAAGAGGTCTGCCAAAAATTTTTGTTTGTTTGACATGGAATCCTTATAAATATATAGTAGCCAAGGTTTGGGTATTATTGTGAATATTCGTATCTAAAAAAAGGTACTTTATACTTGCAGCTAAGATCAGTGACATATCCAGTAATTTTCTATAGGGGGTGGGAATTTTTTAGAGGGTTTCGCCCCCAAACCCCCCTTCGCCGGCCTTCGGCCGGATCATATCTTTGAGCTATTCTTTTACATTTAAGTTAGGTATATTATATTAAGTAAAAAATTTTTATAAAATTGGCTTTAAAAACTAGCCTCAGCTTAAATTCTCATTAAAATATAAATAGAATAAAAAAAAAATTTTTTTATTGAAAATAATAATTGTTAGTGTGTATAAAAAATATTGACTAGAAAATTTTTTTTTAAAAAAAAACAAGTTTTTATAACTTTCTTATCAAATACAATATTATACAATAAAATTTATTAAATAAATATTATAAATTATAAACGCGATTTTTAAATTTTCGTGAGGAAATTTGCCATATTCATCGAGAAATTGGTTTGTCTTTGGAACAAAATCTCTGTGGGATATTTAACAGATAACCCATTTAGCCGAGATTCGGGAAGTAGTATTTCGGGAAATAAGTTTTCCACCTTCTGCAAACGGTCCTTTCATTCGTGTACATGTTGTAATAGGCAAAATATGCAAGAACATAAAACAACTTCAAAATGTTTGGAAAATTGAGCCAGGGTTTCCTTAAACACCGATTGAGCTCATATAGCATGCTTAGGTAAAAAAGCCAAACGTGACAAATATTTAAACCACAATTGAATTCACGGATTAAAATTGATTTCACCTTCAATATCATAGGAATAAAATTCTGCTACTTAATTATACCAATAGCGGCATCAGAAAACGAAGAAGGTTCTTTAGGTAATAAAATTTGAAGATTTTTATCTAAAAACCGTACTTTAAATAGCGATAAAAAAAAAGTATCTAAGAATGGGATGAAAATAAATATTTTATAATTATTCTTCAATTAAGTCAACATTCATATTACATCATTTGCCTGAGGTGATAGACGAGGTTTAATTAGTGTTAAATCATAAGATTTATAGCTTTCGATTCCAACGTCTAGATAAATATTATGAAAATATCCATCTACCATTTTCGGTCAAATCAATAATCTGAACCAAATCTAAATAATTTGGTTTTTGTAAATTTCTACAAAGTAGTGAGTTATGTGTAAAAAATTTTTATTAATACAACTATAAACTCTGATTGATATTGCAAAAATTGTGATGGGGAGGTAATGGAGGGTGAAATTTCCCTCTTCCCCCCACCCATTGGTTATGCGCCTGGCTAAGATACATGATACAGCTTGTATCTAAAATGCACACTCACCATTTAGGAAGAAACTTTAAAAAAAAAATTTAATTTCTCTTCTATTGTTTTACAATTCCTTTATTTATTTTTTTTTATCTCTATTTTATTTTTCTATTCTTTCCATTTTAATTTCTTATACAAGGTAATAAATAAATTTTTAATTTTATATATCAATATAGTAACTTCTATTTATAAATAAACTTTTTTTTTGAAGGTTCACCAAAAAAAAAAGATAATAAAAAAGTGTTGAAAATAGGATTGATGTAGATTTATTTTTAAAAAAAATAATATAAATATTGTTTACAAATTATGTGACATTTTGTTTAAGTGATCAAAAATTTTTTTTAAAGAAATATTGGAGACCTGCAGTAGTGCCCATTTTATTAGGGTCTCTCTGCAGTTATCCTAAAAGTGGGCCTAATGGCTGGAGTCTATATATAAAAAAAATATATATAAGAAAATTAGGTTTAAATTTACTTATTATTTCATCTCAAATTTAAGACTATACCTAGGTTTGGACCTAATAAATATATTATTAAAATCGTCGGGCCACACTAGGGCTAAAAATTTGAAATTGGAGGGCTCCAACCTGCTGTGTATTTGGGGAAGAAATATTGCCGGATATAGATCCACCAATTTTGAAGTTACAAGATTTAGTCACTCGATGTTTAATTTCAGATAAAAATATTATGCAAGCCTAAAAATTTTGCTCATAGCGGCAAAGGTTTGGACATCTATTTACGAAATCTTGAGGCTTAGGCATTATTTTTCTGGCTAAAATATTTGGTTAGCCAGCTCAAATGAGCCATTTAACAATGCTAGTCAAAACTCCATTTTCTCACAAAAAAATTATTGGGTTCTGATATTTTCGATTTAGAATTCATTTTTTTTTATGAGAACTAGAAATCTAATGTCCCAAATAGATTGATTTTGTACAGCCCAATTTACATACTAGATGAATTTAGGAATATATATTTTTTTTATTTATTAAATCATTTTTTTTTCCATTATAATATTTAATATTACTACATTACGTGGATATAAACTTTTATATTTCTTACGATTATTTGTTATTATTGGGAAATATGTTGATTGATCATATTTGATCAATTATTTTTTGATCAATCACGACTTTAATGAATCAAAAATATTGTCATTTATATCTGATTTTTCATAGTTATATATCATTTATAATTTTAATATTCTACAGATACCTTTTTCCTCATTACCCTTTCCCTCTTACAAAATGTGTATTTATGGTTTTCTGATTATAAATATCACTAAAAAATCCAGTTGTGAATATATAAACATTAGATGAGCAGATCTCTGAACTTAAGTGATTATATGAATAGGCTCATTTTTTCTTAGAAAGCCTTGCTTAAAGACATGAATATCATAAATAATTTAATTAATACAAATATTCATATGGTGTCATTGCAACTCATCATAATATATTTTGAAAATTGTCCATAAGACAAAATAACCATTTTATTTGCTATTTATTAGAACAGAATTCTAAAATAATTATAAATTTTTAAAAAATTTGTTTTTGTAAGAGTGGTTCTGAGAACAACCATTAGAATAGTATTTATCACATTAAATTAATTAATATATAAAATTCATACTTGTGTTTCTGTTAACTAGTGGGGATAAAGCATTGGGATTAAATGGTAATACTTTTTTTTTAGTTGAAAGCAAAGGTGACATGAATGTGTTTGAATTATTTGAAGAAATATCATTGTTATTTAATGAATTTATGTTCATTAATTCTGAGTTGTTTATAATATTGTTATTATGTAAAATTGTGTTATGCTCCAAGTCTTTGCTTTCATAAGATTTGTTGATATTTACAATATTTGTATCTGGATTACATGGGATTATATGGGCCTTTGGTATAGATTTAAATGTATTATGGATTAATAAATCATTGAAATTTCCAATGCCACCAAAAGGAATAGATGATTGATTAAAATTATTGAACCTGAGGATTGAGTCTATGTAAATTATTTTTAATAATAATTATCTAACTACGGTATCATATAATGTAATAAAAAATTTAAGATAAATATAATTATAAAACATAATCTTTAAAATATTCAAAAACCTGGTAAACTATCCTGTTTTTGTGAAAGAGACAACATCAAACGTGAGTTATTATCAATGATATCTTCAAATTCACTTATTCTTGATTTGAGCTCACAGTTCATTTCAGAACTTTTTTGAAAACTCCAACCCTTACTTTTAACTTCTTCATTAGTATTTTGCTTGCTCAGTGGAGTGCCCATACTATGTTTTAAATATCTTATTTGACATTTAAAGGATAATAAAATGTTTAATATTAACGCCAAAAGCTAAACATTGTGATTAAGAATAATTGGCGTATATTATTAATTGAAATAAAACTGTTTTAATGAAATAATATTTAATGGTTACATTTTATACAAAATGAAAAAAAAAAAATTCATTTTCACATTAAAGGATAGTTGTATAAAATTAGAGGTGGAAAAAATGTATTTGGTAAACCCAATGATGTATTGTATTGTATAAATATACTTCTACATCACTAAATAAACCTGAACTAAAATTCAAAAAAAATATCATGGAATATATTTTTGGGAATTAAAATTTCAACCCAGTTTAATGCAATACTAAAGATATTTATGGGATTTTCCTTTAATAAATCAACAAAAATATATATTATATTAAATATTAATAAAAAAGTTTAGTATAAGGTCAAAAACGATTATAAAATTAAGATATTGAAAAAAAATAAATGTAATATAAATCATAATTATATAAAGTCATTAATTTTTTCTGTCTTTTATTGATTGAGATCCAAGTTCCCTTTTAGTGTCAACGTTATAATTGAGAGCAAAATAGCCTACGTCTATCCTAATAGGATGTAATTAGGGGGTTTCTGTCATTGAGAGTATTAAGCTGAGATAGTTACATTTCAATATGTTTAGGGCTAATCTTTGACATAGATAGAATCCCTTGTTAGGATCCTCGGTCCTAACAGAGATCCATTTATCAAGCACTTTAAAGAACGGCATGAGACCCGAACGATGTTAAGTCGTGGTTAATAGTGGTAGGAATGTATAGTTGGCAGGAAGCGATGGCGAATATTTAGCAAGTTTAATCGCGGCCTCTAGTAGAGCATCTCTTTGAAGGGGCATTAAGATCGATTCATGAGAAACAGGTTAGGAATTCCCTTCTCTTCTAAGGGATCATGATAGAATCATCAGTCTGCTTACCATCGAAATTGTAAAGGTCATTAGGTTCGAGGATTTATGAGATGCTGGCAGATTTTAAGGCCCTCCAAATAATATCACTGTATTTTGAATGCCTAATGAATCTGCCTCTACAGCACTTAGTTTACCGACGTTTGAGAGTGGATACAGTAATAGGGTATTACCATATCATAATTAAGTCTAAGACCGATGGAGTAACATAGCTTATTATTGCTTAGTAGATGGTCAAGTTCGCGATGGGAAAGCCTCGAGAAATTTATATCCGCTGTCTGCGGAAATGGAGAAGAGTGAAAGGGGTCCGCGGGTTGACTCCTCAATTTAAGGTATGCAATGGAGTTGTCAACTAGAGGCTTATCCCAGTCTTTCTGTAATGCCGATAAGGGAGGATCAACTGTTGAGAGAGACTTCCATGGATCAATTGTGCAGAAGCAAGGGGCCAGGATGGGCTCGCAAGACAAGCGAAGTGATATGAAAGCACTAAACAGAAAATATGGAAGGTGATTTTATGCTAATGCCGCCTTATATGGTTGGTAAGGTAGCTTATAACCAAGATAGGTCTCCAAATTTAAGATTGAATATTTTTTTCTGTGAGGGGTTTAATCTCGAGTTCATGCGCAGCGAAGTTGACATCGTTGAAAGATTCGTGACGACCAGAGTGTATATAAAATTCTTGAGATTAAAAGGTAGTTTTTCAATAGGAGGAAAGCTTGATGTGCTGATAGGCAGGGATATCTCTCGTAAAATATCGGCAAAGAACTTGATAAAGAACTCCTCTTTACCAATTGGAGATCCGAGATATGTTAAAGGGTTCAATGGTATATGATTGAACATAGGATCGTGGTTAAGGTCAATGATCTCAAGAGGACAATATTCGCTTTTGTCTTGATTAATTCGCAGTTCCAAACTGCTCTCACTGGATTATATTATTTTGAATGCTTTCATAACTTATGTCGGATAAGACTAAATATTGTCCAAAATAAGTTTTATAAAAATCGGAGTCGAGAAGGTTCAATTAAAAGATATTTCATGTGATTGAAAAAAAAATGACACCCTTTATATGGTGTTTAAAGATTTTTTCGATCTACATTAGAGATCTGCAAAGTCAGTCCGGGCACGTATTGGCCTCATCAAATTTTTATAATGCTCGACCTAGCTTGTTAAATTTTTTCCCTTTATATATCAATTGTGTTGGATAACGTATTGTGGACAGTAACGTACTAGGGGGGAGGTGGGGTATAGTCTCCTAAAAATTTAGAAAATTCCTATGAAAATTTTGAAGTTTTTTTAATACCATCTTAGCTAAACATAAAAAGTTCACCTTTTAAAAAATAATTTTAAAAAATATTTTTTGAGCATGTGAGATTGTAAAGGCTAGTAACGCATTTGATTGTGGATTTATAAATTATCATGAATAACTTGTATAATTTTTTGTAAATTTACTGAATCATTTATAGGTTATTTTAGTCACACAACTTTTAAAAGGCAAAGAAATAAGCGTCGTAGATTTATATTATATGTACATTTATCTACTTCATTTATAAGATGTGCCAATAAATATTTATTTGCCAATTGATTTATATAATTTACGCAAATTATATTGATGAATTTATATTTTGGTTTTAAAAGATATTATATTATGTAGGAAAACTAATCTTTTGTTTTTTTTATCTATTTTATATTATTGATACTAATTATTGTTTTTTTTTTCTTTTAAATAAATAATAATTTTCCTTTTATAAAAAATATTGTAATAGATATAAATTTGTTCATAGAATCTTAATGTGTAATTTCTATTAGAGATCTGTAAAAATAGGCCCAGCCCGAACTCCCGGCCCTTTTTTAAAACCTAGATAATTTAACAGGTCGGGTAATTTTTATGAAAAAACTTTCGCATCGGGCCAAATTTGATACATTAAGCATCACAGGTAGAGCCTTGCAAATCTTTGATTTTTCATAAAATATCATAGGCCAGCTCAGGCAATAGTATCTTGATTATTGATTAATACTACAATTATGGTTTTAACTAAATAATAAATCTATAAATAAATAATTCCCCCAAAATTAACCATTTATTTATGATATGATACAATAACAAATGTATAATACCGATACAGACATATTGATTTATAAAACAGTTGTAAAATAGCCATAGAGATGATATAAGTGCCTTAATTGACCTTGGAAAAATTAGATATAGAATTTTAAAATGTGGTTACCAAATTTCTTGGGGCTGGGCAAATATTTTAAAAATTTATAACTGGTCGGGATCATGGCAAAAGAATTTTGAGCCTGGCTGGGCAATTTATTCAAAAATTCTTAACGGGCCGAAGCGGGTTGGACTTTCCCGAACTCCAATAGCTATGTAGGGGGTCTACATGTGTTTGCTTTAAGCCTAACCAAATCCGGTGTTATTAAATTTGAAGTATGTCGCGATTCGAGATGTGTTAGAGTATATCTCTGTATAGTATTTTATGAAGGATTTTATTAATTATTGCTTACCTGAATATTAAAATATTTTTGATTTTTATGGAATTAAAATATATCCGCCCTTCGTCTAATTGCCACTGAGTATCTGAAATCTTTGTCCGAAAAAATATATCTCATTTTTTTGCTTTAAATGACCTCTAGCTAGCCACTCACAAGCGATCCTTTTAATCAATAAGGGGGAGGTGAGGTTGGTAAACATCTCTATGCCGTTGTTCAAAAGTAAATAGTCGAAGTGTGACACCAGGGTCTACATGACAGGATTTTCACTGAATGCAAACCCCCTTCAAAAATCTTTGCCTACCCTCCTAAAAAAAAATCCCACCTTCGGCGGCGGTGTCTCCCTATTATTATTATTATTATTTTTTTTACCTTTTAAATTTATTGATACTCTTTTCAGAGAATTTATAAAGGATAACTTAAATTAATCTTTCTCTACTACCAACTATCAATATTTTGTGAATGTAAAGAATTTATTTTTTAGATAATAAATTCAATTAAAACCACCATTATTTGCAATGAATTAATTATTATGGCATTATGAGCTTGCTGAAATGATAGCAGAAAGTTTTATTTAGAAAACAATGTGTATGATTGTTTGCAATATATAGATTTGGTCGATGAAATGTATTATAATCATTCTATTATAAAAATATTAATTTTTACAGCAATAAATTTTGTCCTATTTCCTCTCAAAATTTAATAGATAACCCCCCAAAATATTAATCTTACCACCATTAAAGCAGCCTACCCCTTACCACCATAAGCAGCCTCCCTCCCCCCCCCCCACCAAATAAATAGGATGAAAACTGTTCCTACCCCTCCCGCTCATGTAGACGTGACACGAGGATATATCTCAATCCTTTTATAAACTGGTTTTAAGATTATTTATGGCCCCTGTTACTCCAGCTAATTAGTGCCATATTAAGTAAAGAATTAATAGTCTGTGTTATTAGATTGAAAAGATTTTCAATTATATATGGTAACTGATGGAAGATGATAATGAATGATACTATTGTTTCAGAATTTTATAGTAAGGGCAATGTAACCATTTATCCTGTAAAATTTTTTAATTAAAAATATGTCATCAAATAGGCATTTTTGAAAAATTTATTGAAATGGAATTGTCCATGATGACCTAAAGTAGTAAATTGTAGACAAGTTAAGTTTATTTTACTTTAATGCAAGATTATCGAGGTACCTTCCTAGAAAGTTTTGACAGTCTCCGTTTAGACTGAAGGACACAAATGTTATCTTTGAGGGAGTAAATAGGTTTAGGATGGGAAAAGAGTATTTTGATTTTTAACAAATTTTGTATTTACTATTATTTAATGGTAGGTTTAGATGTTGAAAGCTAAAGATAATAAGTCAAGGGGCATTATTTCAAAAAACTGCGTAAAATTGTAGCTTCATCTAAATATTAAACATTCAGGATCATCGTCAAAACATATATCAAGTATCATGTATCTGTGAGATTTCTGATATGATATTTGTATCTCTATCTAAAATATATATATATTTATATGGAATCTTTATCTAAATCTTAGGACCTTGCTAACTATGCAGAACCCATGAAACTAGTCGAATAAGATAGCCCAATCTCTCCCATTTAAGTATAGGCTCGGCTACAAATCAAGTTTCGCTATATCAACAAGTTAATCACTT